TCTCTATGCTTAAAATTTGTGTTTGCTAAAAATAAACGATTGTCTGAGCACAGTTGCAGCAGACGGTTAATATTATCTGTTCGCTGTGTCGGAATACTAAAATATCCACCTAAATCCCTTTCTGTTTGGTTTAAACTACCTATCTGGGCATTAAAGTCACCCCCTACGAGTACTATGTCTGAGCGTTTAGCTTTCTGAAGAGGTTCGGACAGCTTTCTCTAAAATTCATCTTTCACTTCTGAGCTGCAGTCGGTGGGAGCGTAGGCAGAAACGACGAAAAGGCAACGACGCGTGTCCCTATCCTTCCGAGTTCTTACGTAGCCGTTTAGCCGGACAGCACATAAACGACTGTTGACGGGGATCCACTCTAGCAGTGCTTGTTCTGCCCCCATGCCTAGTGCTATCCCTACTCCTGCTAGTCCACGAGAGCTGGCCATCGGGTCACCAGATACACGGAGGGTGTGTCTCGTTGGCTCTCCGTTTTGCCGAGGTGAGGTCAAGTGAATGACCACACTGGAATCCTGTATGCGTGTTTGGGAGACACAGCATACATCAATGGAAAGAGACTCTAGGGTTTTAGCCAAGGAAGCCTGCTGACCGATTTGACATAGAGTGCGTACGTTGAAAGCTCCAATGTGTAGTTTGGAGCGAGGTTTCAGTAGACCTGGGACAGAGTTTTGAGCACTAGAATCGTTAGCTATGGTGACACTTGAGGGGGAAGCCGAAGGAGGAAGTTTAGGGTTGAAAGTCGATGTAGGAGGAATAATAGGAATTGAAAAGGAAGGTTGATTATGAATACAGTGGTCTTGGGTGCTGTTAGAGGTATGAGGGCGGTTATCACTTCCCGGTTGCCCACACCGTGGAAGGGTTCTTCTGGAGGTACCTGAAAAGGAAATTGGATTAGAGGCGGTCTCAGTGACCTGAGAGCGTGACCGCAGTGCCCAAGGGACAACTGCTTGAGGCCGGTCGCGCACGGCCTTTTCGTGGGAGGATTTTGACGTGTTAGCTCCGTTCTTCAAAAGGCCTTACCGCCGGAGACGGAAATCCGTGAGGTAAGGTGAGGTGCGCATTTTTAGGGCCGACCTTTTCTAACCCCACCCCTCCTTGTGGGAAGGCAGCATCGCTGTCATGCTGGTTGTCTGAAGGAAACACCTTACTGCTGTCACACCTCTGTACAGTCAGCAGTACGACTTCGCCTTCGGACCTTGGGTTTGTTGCTTTTAGTCTTACCGCTCTTCAACCGACCTGTCTGACATGGTAGGACCTTGAGGAACGGTTGTTCCAGCCAGTATGGCTCGGTTGCTTCATCACGATAAGCAAGCCCGACCACTACGTCAAGGTAGTAACAACGGTCGGCGTAATTAAGTATGTAACTAAATTAAGCATAACCAAGTGCTTCACATATTACGGCAACCGGTTTCATAGTTATATTTAATTGTTTAAGACCCAATGTCCTCCACCTTTTCTCTCAGGAATAACGTGTAGCTGAAGCTCATTGAGCTCAGCAGGTTATGCTCGAGAATGCATCGCTAATTTTAAGCGGAGTTATGCGACCTAACGTAGACCATAGTTGTTAATTGGAACTCTTGTGCAACGACAGCCTATCTAGGCTTGTTTGCAAATGTATGCAGCCAAAGCTATAAAGGGATAACTATAGTTTGGCATTTCTTAGCAGACTGGTTTGTAGTCTGATATGTTGGTAAATGTCTCTGCTAATAAGCTTTAATTTTATATATTCACAAGTTCTTAAAAAATTCGAACACCGGTAGTCAAATGTGGGAAATTATATCAACGGCTTTATGATGGAAACAGCTCTCTCTGCCCCGAAATGGCCTGGTGCGGTCGACAGTGGGGAGAGTCAACTCTCCCTTTTGTGATGCACTCGCATGGTCACGTGCACACTGTCAGGGAAGTCCTACTCACCGCCTCGCAGCGAGTTTTTTTACGAAATTGAAAGGACGAAGAGTGAATGTCCGGTGCTTTAACCGTGTTCGTGGATACGGACGATCGATCCACCTAGGGGAGTTGGGAAACCCTGGTTCAAAACCAGTTGTGCACATCGGCTCTACTATCCTAAGGGAACAAATGGCATATGAACTAGTCGTGAGTCACCGACTACCATGGGACTGCATCTCCTTACGTTTCTCCACTGCCTTGTAGATTAGACCTTTAGGTCGAAGGCTCCGGGTGTGGTCCCCTAAGAAAACCACCTGCTTCGGTCTGAGCACCCGGGCATTATCCCAGCCCTCACACAAATCGAATGATTTGTGTGGCGCATACCTATTTAGTGCCTTCTTTTACCTATGTTTATGTGTTTAAATAAATAATAATAATTCTAATACTTGACCCTTCATACTTTCCATCGCAAGTGCATTCACCCCTTCCCTCGTAGTTGGAGATTTTAGTGGAACTAATCTTAAGTTCGTTAGTTCTAAATCTAACAGCCTTGTGTGTCTACCATTGCTATCCAGAAGCCTTGAGGTAGTGTGACTACTGGATGCAAGTGTATTACAATAAACTTTGGTCAACACAAATACAACCTCATAATTTAGGAGTTCTTAAGCAGAAAATATAGTTTTTACGCAAGATAAGTGGGCATATAACCATATTTCTTTGTTTTTATTCCAGTCGCAGACTAGTGAATGACTCTTCTTAGTTATTGTTGGCTGCTTTACCCTAACTGGACGTAGATATCCTTTAAAATTAAAATGGGAGAATAACACGTTCGATTGTATACGCTTACGTAGAAGATATTGTATAAATTGTGTACTAGAAATTAGGACTGATACAAGTAATATGAAGTCCTGTTTGTAAATACACCATGATTGAGTTATAAATAATTCCTAGTCTTGAGTAGCAACAATGAAACACTATGTGGCTTATTATGATCATTGTGTGACGATCCAGTTGAGGACTTTAGTAGTTGCTAAAGGCAAACATGAAAGCGTGAACGGCCAGGCTGTGTTTTATCAAACTTTCCAACCATAATGACCAGTCCAAAACAATTGTTTTAATGAAAGACTTATTCTTTACTGAAAAAACCCCAGTTCCTGCTATCGTTATTACTGAGGATTGTTAATAGACTACTGCGTTTACAAGGATCCATTTTTGATCTTGAAACTTGTTCTTTTTATGTTATGTGGTAACCGTATATCTTCGAAAATTTTTTTCTACAGTCATAATATTTATCACCACTTTTCAGGGATCGGTAGAGATATTACCACCAGGTCGTCTAAGGAAAAACCAGTTCAGATGGCCTAGTTGTCCAATAGTCAATCTTTTTGTCAGCTTTATGTTTATTTATTTATTTATTTTAACACATAGATATTGGTATAAGGAGGCACCAAATATATATGCGCCACACAAATCTCATTCGATATGTGTGAGGGCTGTAATATTGCCCGGGTGCCCAAACTAAAGCAGGTGGTTTTCTTAGGGGGTCAATCCCCGAGCCTTCGACCTGGTCTGATCCACAAGGTAGTGGAGCATTGTGAGGAGATGCTGTCCCGTGGTAGCCGGTGACCAACAATTGGTTCATACGCCATTTGTTCCCACAGGATACTGGAGCCCATGTGCACCATTGGTTTGGAGTCCGGTTAAAGCACCAGACATTCGCTTTTCGTCCTCTGATTTTCGTAAACAACAGCAATGACACGAAAAGGCGGTGAGTAGGACTTCCCTGGCAGAGGCTATATACGCGTGGCTATGTGAGAGCATTTCGAGAGGGAGAGCGGACTCTCCCCACTCTCGACCGTACCAGGGCATTTGGGGGCCAGCTTTATGTGCTCGTGTGCAACATGTATGTAGGACATACACCCGTTAAATTTAGTAAATACAATAGTATAGAGAATTCGGTCCCACTATACATTTGAGGATGACTAGATTATAAATATGATTGTGTTAGCAGTAGTAACTACTTTGATGAAAGGCTACAAAAAACTGGTTGACAATCAATCATGTATGTTTATGTTCTGTCCAGACTTTTCTGGTTGGTTGCGCCTACAACCTCAATTCGCCAAGTTACATGTACTATAAATAAAACCCAACATATATTTTGTCGATGCAGTCCCACTCAACACTTTAAAATGACCGTAGATTAAATTTTTTCAGGTGTGTTAGGATGTTTGTCTAACTAAAAGCAAAAGTCATCTTGGATGTTCTGTAGATTGGATACTCATTCGATGCTGCAGTAGAGTCCTGACACTTCCTTTACATCTCCCAGCTTAAGATACGTGCGTAATCTATGTTTATCCTCAGATATCGTAGCATGGCTCATTGAAATCAGTTTTGGATTGAGTACTATAACTTATCCCGTATTATGAAATCGAAAGTTATTAACAGAAATTTTTGTGTATAGAAGGAAGAACTGTCTGCTTGGGATTTGTTAACAACACATAACTCACTAGGCAAAGTACTAGGTATCATGGGTTGGGTCTCTATCATATATGCTTCAGCGTAATCACCCTAATGTAGTTTTTGTTTTTTTATAAACTATTTGAAATCAAAAGGATTCATCTTGATAACTCGTTTTTTTGACTGTATTTTATGATAATTTTTTAATTAACCTAAGAAACTTATTGTATTTTCAAATAAAGAATAAAGGTAAGAAGGGATTTTTTTCTTCTCGACGATCTCACTTACTGAAGCTGTACCGCCATGTTCATGGTGATTTAATTAATGTATGAGTCGATAAAAAAACCCTTTATGACTCAACCTATTTCTACTTCTACACAGACGTCTATGGGATTTCACTTGTTGATTTTTTTGCGATGTGGTCTTGTGTTTCTTCACAACGTTGCTACTCCGTTTTTATGTGCTGTTTCTAGTAGCACATTTTATATTATAATTAAATAAATAACACCGTTTTTTTACTGTTTAATCGATAACACTGTGTAAACATTAAAACAGTAGCTTATTTTATCTTCCAGGTTTATTTGGCTGCCAAAAAGCTGCTAATTGACGACTTTTCAAAAGCCATATCTTCTCGGAGGAATTTCTAAATTATCGTTCTATGTCAATAAACAGTAAGTGCTATTAGTTAATGTTGGGCACGATAGATCCCCAAAACTCATGTTTTTTTTTAAATTTTATCTTATCGATTAAATGTTTAAATATTTGTATGGGGGTCAATTGATGAACTTATTGATTAATGTTTAAAAATTTTCCATGACAATATCGATTGTAAATATTTGTATAAATACGCTTGATTTGTGTGCTTGACTTGACTTGTAATCTGCGGTTTGCCTGTAGAATACACTTTCTACGCCTCATCCAGACTTCTTGATCGAGTTAGCTGAGTCGGGGACAGCGAACCACAATAGCTATCGAGTCTCTGAATCATTGATTCTTCGTTCCTTTCGAGCAAGACGAATCAGTAGTAGTATTCCAGCTTTAACAAACATAACAGCTAACTATTCCAAGTAACTATAACTTCATATAATCGGCATTCTTTTTCATCATATGCGGTATCGGATTATATAATGGTGTACAGATTAAAGGATTTGCGTTTTGGTTTACATGGGTTGTGTATTACACATAGTAAACCAAGTTGTAAGACAAAGCGGCTTATGCCAATCAGGATTGTATTTGGTTCCTTTATGATTTTAGTTTGGCCGTAAAAGGTTGGATCTACTAGGCGTCGGTGAGGGCAGCTTTGCTCTATGCTTCTGAAACCTGGCCTTTTCGAGTCGAGGATGTCAGAAGACTGTGTTTGACCACTGTTGTCTCCGAGGGATCGCTGACATTCAATGACAACGCCGTATTAACTCAGAGGTACGGCAACGTTTATTCGAGTAAAGCAATGTTAACTCAATTGATGTCACCATCTTGAAACACCGACTCCGATTGCTCGGATATGTGCTACGAATACCGTCCTGGCCAATCCCTCATCGCGCAATAATTGTCGACACTGGGGACTTGTTTGGAAAATTGTTGAGATCGTCAGTGCATGACATGGTTTCGTTGCACGAAAGAAAGTTGTACAGGACAGGCTTCTGTCGATCTTTCACGACTCCATGGTTGGAGTCCTAGAGATGGTGCAACACAGTGGCTTGAGACTTTATCAGACATGGCTCAGAGTAGAAGCCAGTGGCTATCCTGCTATAAATTTCTTTTACTTTTACAAAAGTGAAAGTAACGTTTTTAACCGAAAGAATTCTTTCTGATTGTTTCTTTGCCAACTGAACTTCTCTTATTATTATTATTATTATTATTATTATTATTATTATTATTATTATTATTATTATTATTATTATTATTATTATTATTATTATTATTATTATTATTATTATTATTATTATTATTATTATTATTATTATTATTATTATTATTATTATTATTATTATTATTATTATTATTATTATTATTATTATTATTATTATTATTATTATTATTATTATTATTATTATTATTATTATTATTATTATTATTATTATTATTATTATTATTATTATTATTATTATTATTATTATTATTATTATTATTATTATTATTATTATTATTATTATTATTATTATTATTATTATTATTATTATTATTATTATTATTATTATTATTATTATTATTATTATTATTATTATTATTATTATTATTATTATTATTATTATTATTATTATTATTATTATTATTATTATTATTATTATTATTATTATTATTATTATTATTATTATTATTATTATTATTATTATTATTATTATTATTATTATTATTATTATTATTATTATTATTATTATTATTATTATTATTATTATTATTATTATTATTATTATTATTATTATTATTATTATTATTATTATTATTATTATTATTATTATTATTATTATTATTATTATTAATATTATTATTATTATTATTATTATTATTATTATTATTATTATTATTATTATTATTATTATTATTATTATTATTATTATTATTATTATTATTATTATTATTATTATTATTATTATTATTATTATTATTATTATTATTATTATTATTATTATTATTATTATTATTATTATTATTATTATTATTATTATTATTATTATTATTATTATTATTATTATTATTATTATTATTATTATTATTATTATTATTATTATTATTATTATTATTATTATTATTATTATTATTATTATTATTATTATTATTATTATTATTATTATTATTATTATTATTATTATTATTATTATTATTATTATTATTATTATTATTATTATTATTATTATTATTATTATTATTATTATTATTATTATTATTATTATTATTATTATTATTATTATTATTATTATTATTATTATTATTATTATTATTATTATTATTATTATTATTATTATTATTATTATTATTATTATTATTATTATTATTATTATTATTATTATTATTATTATTATTATTATTATTATTATTATTATTATTATTATTATTATTATTATTATTATTATTATTATTATTATTATTATTATTATTATTATTATTATTATTATTATTATTATTTAGTATTAATCTCGTTCGCGTACACTAATTTCTATTCATTGTTGTTCTTATTTATTATACTCACTTTCCTTTCTCTATTTCCTCGCAACCTCATTTTTATTATGCTGCATATATAGTTGGTGCCCCCTTTGTACCAATATCTGCGTCTGAATAAGTAAATAATGATGGACGATATCAGAGCTGATGGTAATATGGAAATAGACTGAAAGATGGCGCTAATTTGCGATACTAAATTTTTTTCTGAACCATGTAGGAGAAATGAATTTATCAACGGGAATCTTTGATGTCGAATTTTTATGCTGTTTCGTCAACATTTGAAAAGATGAAATGATTATGTAGTCTATTGGAAGGACTCAATATTTCATTATAAGTTTTCATACAAATATTTCGACAGACTACTCTACTTTGCTATCATCATCTTCATGAAAACATATATGGACTTCTATCCTTTTTTCCATTTCCAGTGTTCAATCGATTAGAGATTAGTAATGACATAGAAAATATATTAAGAATAAAGTAATAAATTGGAGCCATAATTTAACCCTTAAATCTTCATTTGAGAGTTTTTATTAGTTTAACGTTACTTCACCTTCTTATAGACCTTCCTGATTTAAATGTTTTCCGCAATACATACCTTTATCTCTGTATACAGAAAACTAAAGGGATTAAAACTAGTGGTCTGTAGAATGCTTTACTCTTTTCTGTAATATGTGCTTTCTACGCATTTAGTGCTGCTAGTTATTTGTTCGATTTGATAATCACTTACATCACGGAATGATAACTAAGAAAGTGATTGAAAACTATGAGTCACTGAACAGTTGTTCTGACATCGTTTAGACTCGTCTGTATCTGCTTACAAAATAAACCCCAGTACTGTTCGGTCTTACCGTGGGTAAGTCCTATAGTTGGCAGCTCCAACTTCAGTCAATATAGCAAGTATTTCAACCGCTAGTCAGTTTCATTGATGTGTTTTATTTATTTGTTAGTACAAATATACAGCGAATAAAGAACGTGAGTAGAACACTAAGGAGGAAACCCGAAAGAACCCTTTCAGTCAAACAAGTCGCTCCTTATTTTACAAAGAAAGTAAATGAAAATTACGGCGGGATTTCCATTGGTTTATATTTTAAGCGATGTCTGATGACATTACAAGTCACTAAGTGTCTCTCTCTCTCGGACCCCAACCAAGGAGTTGTTATGAACTGATAAATAAGAGTCCTATATACCCTCATTTCATATTCCGGTACTACGTCATAAACTGACCACCTCCCGTTTTTCTAACCAGTTCCAGCGTCAGCAATTAATGCACTATGTGGCAGTTGCTACGACAGCCAAATCATATTAAGGTGCAACAAGGTTCCCCGATAAGCGCTCGCAAAACGAGATTTTCGATTTGATAAATGGAAAGCTAGTTTCCAGTAATTCACTACAGTCTTGAATATACAGCTAACATCTATGTTGCCATTTGCCAAAGAAATAGCTAAACCTATCTGTTTCCGATATGCATCAGTGTCTGAGAGTTGAGGAAGACCAATTTGAATGACACATGTAGTTTCAGAAAAGCTGATTGGGAGTCCATATTCTGTGGGAACATCCAAACTTTCGACCAATCAGTGACGTAAGTTCGTTTAGACAGAAAATTTCTACTGTAAATGAACCGTATTAGTTTAAAACTAAGCAGAATGAAAACATAGTATAATAGAAACGTGGTCGAGGGTAAGATAAAAATACATGAATTAAATGGTAGTAATTATCTTTTGAGTTAGTAATAAAGCAGAGTAATAAAACCAATTACTTCATAATCATTCACTGTCACTGGTGGATATCTGTTTCATTTATAACTTTTTCTGAGTCAATATTTTATGGCCTTATTATAATTTCAGAACGACTATCTAGAAGCAAGTTATTCAGCCTGACTCTAATCCTTATTGTGAATTGTCTTTAAATATACTACTTTTTTGTGTACAATGGTAAGTAAAGACCGTGTCCAATTCTCTGTACGTCATAAATAAGACATTTTCTACTATCAGAAACAGCATTCAACTGGTTGAAGCGTAAGGGGTCACTCTAATACGTTGTCGATTTAAGTTAGCACAGATACCATTTTAGTTTTATCTGTAAAACGAATACTTCGCAATTGGCGGTAGTAAAATGTCCCATTCTATGAAGCCACATTTGTTTCTATCGATCAGTACACTCGTAGCCAGGTAAGTCATCCAAAATACCAACTACTAAGGTGTTGATATAGTTTTTGGAGACAATAATCAGCGTAAAACATATCGGTCAAGACAAAAAGTATACTCAAAGCGATTAGTTAAGTACTTCAAAGTTCACGTTCACAAAGTAGGACGAAAGTTTAAGATCGAATGTTTAAATGTTATCTGTAAAATATAGTAAAATTCTACTTAATTAGATGTTCAAATATGAAAAATATTTCGAATTCCAGTAGAAATGGCAATTCAACGTTTCCTTATATAACAAAATAGGCCTACAAAATTAAAACATCGTCTTTACAAAATATTGTAAAGCAATAACCATTCAATAAAGCTTGTACAAGACAGTTATCTGATTGAATATATATATATATATATATATATATATATATATATATATATATATATATATATATATATGCAAATAATTATATTATACAATGTACATTTTATGTCTTTACTTTTTCATATAAAAAAACCTGGAGTTGACAGTTGGACTCGTGTTAAAAATACTTTAAAAAGCCTATATTCAATTGGATTTTTCCGTGAAATATAATAATCAAAACGATGCCTGTTCCTTATCCTCAACATCCGATCCCTATTGAAGCGCTTTCTGAATATGACATTCGTGAAATACTCTTGGATGGTCATGAAATTCTTGAAAAGTATGTTTAGTGCATCCATTAATTGAAAATAATCAGGCCACTAACTCCAGCTGCAAACTTCCAGAGGATTATTAATCACATCGATTTTTCTGAGAGCAGCAGTTATAGTGATAATTGTTCTCAGAATAAAGAGTCTGAGTTTTTTCCAAAGAACTTTACACCAAAAATATGGGAAAATGTTAAGGAGACCCTACGGTATGTCGTATCGGGTATATCTAATTGTTTTTAGTACTACCTTGATTGAAATCAATGCTTTGGTTGACGTTCTTTCTATCATCAAAGAAGGAAAATATCTGGCCATTAATCCTGTTGCTGATGATTCGCAAGAAACTAATCTTTCTCTTTACCTATCTGGGAAAAAACGAGTTAGTTTAATCAAATTCTTCTCTTATTTATTTTGAAACGAGTAGTCTATCGCTGCTGCCGCTGATATCTTAATGAAAGGTGCTGAGCGTCTTCGTCGTAGACATAGTGAATTGATTGATGCTAGAGTCCGACGATTGAATTCAGTTGTACCTCCTCAGTTTGATAGTGCTCATAACTCCTTCCATAAAGCACTAATGCATCTACGCCAAGAATGGAGACTAAAGTTGCATCAAAATTCTATTTTAGGTGATGTTAGTCTACGGTCAGTTGGTTCTCACTTTAGGGAGTCTGGTAATTTCGAGATCCGGGAATCAGATGGTTTTGCTGATAGTAAATCAGATGTGGAGTCACAAGACGACAAGTGTGTTGATGCAGTAACTGGAGTTATGGTAAGAGATTATTTATCATTTGTCTGTAATTAATATTTTCTGCGCTTTATATGCCGTTAAATTTATAAATCATTTTTAATGTTATAGATTTAATGAATATTGAAATATGAAGACGTTTGTAATTGAAACAAAATCTAAGTAGTAGTTAATTTCGATTCAATTGCTTCTGAACTTTCTTTTACAATCTACAAAACTCCATTCTAATTCACCTTCTTAGACCTCATTATTATCAGATGGGCTTTTGTGGAGATTGTAGTAATTTCAATGGTTAAGATCATGAGTCAGTTGGTTAACTGGTTAAGTGCTCGGGCGCGAAACTAGTAGGTCCTGGGTTCGAATCTCGCAGGGCGCGAGGTCGTGGATGCGCACTGCTGAGGAGTTCCACAATAGGACGAAACGGCCGTCCAGTGCTTCCAGGTTTTCAATGGTGGTCTAGCTTCAACTGACTCATGATCTTAACCATTGAAAAGACCTCATTATGTTCAGCTATCAATTAATTAAGAGGCTTGCAAGTGATCGTACTTCATCACACCATCCATGCAGCCGTATTAGTAAGATCGGTCAAATTTCAACATAATTCCGTATTAGCTATAATACGTGTTAGGCCAAGTAGGACGATGTTCGGATATTCGCCAACGAACATGTCCAGCTGTGCGACCTATGTAACTAACCTCAGAAGAGCAGTTTGATTGGTAGACTAACATAGATGAGGCGAATTCAAAAAGTTTCTTTTAGTAAAAGATAATCAACGTTGATTAAGCGATCTATACTTGTTTACTTGATACAAGGAATTAAGAGAACATAAACATAACCTCCCATAAAACTGGAGTTTTTAAATGACTATACTAGTGAAATGATAACGAAACAGATCAGTAAAGCCCGGGAAAAAACGTTTAGTTCAGCCAAGCGATAAACCTTTTTCTACAACTGTCTCATCACACCTGGAAATAAAAATAGAATTTCCAAATTCTCCTTGCCGATATGTATAAGCCGATCGAACTATTCTTGTATAAGCCATTTATATCCGGCCGAAAATTAGGCAAATCCGTCATCAGATTCCAGGATATCCTGCTCGGTTTAGCAAACGACAATTAATTATGATTTAAAGCTTTATTAACTGATAAAGAAAATCAAGTGAAGATAAACAATGCTTTCCAAATGATCCATCGTATTCCAGATGGATTAACTCCAAAGCTCTTTAAGGATGATGGTCCAGTTTTAGCGACTAAGTTGACTAATATTTTATCTAAAATCTGGGAACTGAACGTAATCTCTTCTGACTGGTTGCAATCACTGATCGTCCCAATATATAAAAAGGGGTCAAAATCGTCCTGTGGTAACTACAGAAGGATTAGTCTGACTAATATAACGTCTAAAATACTAGCCTCAATAATTATCAGACGCCTAACAAAACCTCGTGAACTGCAAACACGAAAAAATCAGTATGGCTTCAGACCTGGTTGCGGCTGCATTGACCACATATTCACCATTTTCCAGACTTAAGGAAATGTGCATGTTTATCAGCGTCAAACAATGGTGGTCTTTATTTAGTTAAAAGCAGTATTTGACTCTGTAGACCGAGATGTTCTGTGTCAGTGTCTGTCATTGAAAGGTGTACCTCAGAAGTACATAAACCTTGTGAAGGCTCTTTAATCGAAAACTACCAGTCGAGTGAGAACCTGCTTCGGTTCGGGCAATCGGAAGTAGACTTATCCCCCGATAGTTGTTACAGGAACGACGTGAACCATTTTTAAAGATGGGGACAACTATCAACTCATTCCATGACGTTGGCATACTCTCTAGTTCCCAAACCTTTGTAAACAAC